TAGGGGTTGTGTCCTTTTTAACCCCTAAATTGAAGGGTCTTCAAAAATGTCATTTAGACACCTCTAAAAATTCTAATTCCACTTACAAAGATTGACCACAATGTTTTTGGGTCATTCTATGAGTTTTTCAAAAAAAAAATTGAGAATTATCCTTCCCGAGAGTTAATTTTTCTTATTTTTCTGAAAATTTTCTTTTTGAAATTTTTTTATAGATTTTCGGATTTTCCAATTTTTTTTATAAATTTTCTTATTTTTTCTGAATTTTTCACATTTTTTATGGATTTTTTGAAAATTTTTGAATTTTTATGAATTTTTTAGAAATTTTCCAATTTTTACTAAGTTTTCTGAATTTCAAAAAAAAAATTGAAATTTCTGAAATTTTTATTGAATTTTCGAATTTTTTTAGAAATTTTCTGAATTTTCTAATTTTTTATGAATTTATGAATTTTTTTAGATTTTTTATTTTTTCATTTTCATTTTTATTTTTTATTATTTTTTATTTTTAAAAAATTTTCCCGTCAAGGGTTGAACCGGACCGGACCGGCTGGCACCGATGCTAGCCAGTGCCCCGGCGAGCACGACACCAAAATGGCGCCATTTCTGGCGTGCTTCTCTTCGACATTTCGCCGAACAGGTGGAGGACGTGATTTTGAGTTTTGAGTTATCAAGGCTGTCGATTTGAACCAAATTTCGACAACCTTCCAGCAATTTTTCGGCATCAACTTTTGGTGATATACTAACTCCACACTGTCCTATAGTCATTCAACTCATTCGGTTCATCACCGGACCATTGCCGGCCGGCGAAAAATTGACCTAAAAACCTTAACCTAAAAATGATCAATTCTGTTTTACAGGTATTTAGCTCACTAGATTAATCGCCCTAACCATCTAGATCGATCCAAATCATTATCTAAACATCAATCAAAGTGAGAAAACTACTAACTTGGGTGATCTATGATCACAGGAGGCGCTCCGGCGAAGATCAGGAACTCCGGCAATGTGGTTCCAATGTCGGATTGACTCGGTTTATCCAATTTAACGACCCAAATGCAATCAAACAACACAAAATGTGATCAGAAACATGTTCTGAGCATTATGAAGCTCAAAATCATAAAAAAAAAAAATTACACGATCAAGCACGGTAAAGCTCAAATACACAATCTGAAATTTTGTAGAAACTGTGATCATGACTGAACTTTACTTGCTTTATAGAGGCTTTAAATGAAGTTTCCTAGCTAATCGGCTGCCGTAGGACTGTTCTCTAACACTTGAGCTTTCAGACCATGATCACCACTTCGCTGAGAAGCTTTTGGACGCGATGGCCGAGCACGATTTCCAGGCGTCAGCAACTAACCTTGTTACAGGTTTTCCAGGTGAGGAAACTCACCTTTGGAGACTAATTCGCCGGCGCTTTTCCGGCCGGAAAAGCGCCAATCACTCGGCCTCAGGGAGAATCAATTCGACCTCTCGCTCAAATTCTCTCTTTTTCGCTCTAACTCTCTCTTTCTCTCTCTCTGGAATATCATCGAACATCTGGTCTCCCCGGATCATGATTTTTTCTTCTCTTTTGTAGCTCGATTTTCCGCCCAAAGTTGGTTATCACCAACTCCAAATCGGTTAAATCGAATCTCCAACGCCAACCGGAGAATCTCTAGCTGGAATCGGAGATTAACACGTACATATTTGGCTGGATTCAGTTGATCAAGAAGTGGGCACGAGATATTTTATGGGTTTTTATCACGTTCTGGACAAGTCGGGTAAGGAAGGAGACCAACCCGGGTCAGGTCGGGTCTATCCGGTCGACCCAGGTTGGTCTATATTCACAAATTCGACCCGATTTTAACCATATTTTCTGATTTTAACCCGAAAATTGGATTCTTAATCACATTTTGTACCCAAATATGTGATTTTCCCTAATTTTTGTCACAATTAAACCCAAAATTCTTAAATTGCAAATTTGGATCATTAGGGTTTTCATTCAATTTGATATCTAGAGGACCTGATTGGGCAAAATTGATGCCAAAATTGGATTACCCATGACTGATTAACCCTAGAAATGGTGGTCTTATAATTCGACAATTTCAAATTGATAATGATTCCCAATTTAGGCTAAAAATCCCTAATTTTCAATTGGATTTTGGGGCTTTTAATTTCTTTGGTAAATTGTACAATTGGACCGATCATTATGTAATTCAAGATTCCAGAATCATTTGTTGTGAAGACACTATAGCCTAGAAATGACTCAATTGAATTTTTGGCTGGATTCAGTTGATCAAGAAGCGGGCACGAGATATTTTATGGGTTTTTATCACGTTCTGGACAAGTCGGGTAAGGAAGGAGACCAACTCGGGTCAGGTCGGGTCTATCCGGTCGACCCAGGTTGGTCTATATTCACAAATTCGACCCGATTTTAACCCTATTTTCTGATTTTAACCCGAAAATTGGATTCCTAATCACATTTTGTACCCAAATATGTGATTTTCCCTAATTTTTGTCACAATTAAACCCAAAATTCTTAAATTGCAAATTTGGATCATTAGGGTTTTCATTCAATTTGATATCTAGAGGACCTGATTGGGCAAAATTGATGCCAAAATTGGATTACCCATGACTGATTAACCCTAGAAATGGTGGTCTTATAATTCGACAATTTCAAATTGATAATGATTCCCAATTTATGCTAAAAATCCCTAATTTTCAATTGGATTTTGGGGCTTTTAATTTCTTTGGTAAATTGTACAATTGGACTGATCATTATGTAATTCAAGATTCCAGAATCATTTGTTGTGAAGACACTATAGCCTAGAAATGACTCAATTGAATTTTTGATTCAATTTGGGCTTGTTTTTACCCAATTTTGGGAAAAACACATTCCCAATTGAAATTTTTTAAAATTGATACTGTATTAATGAAATTGGATTTAAAATAAGACTAATGACTATTTTTATGGAATTTTTGGACTCCATTTGCTATTTTTTTTTTTAATTTTCTCCTTTATTTTGACCAAAAGAAATTAAGGAAAAATTCAGGAAAATTATTAAAAAATTATTTTTGGTTTAGAAATAGGTTCCTAAGCTTGGCCAAGATTCCTAATTCTAATTTTGTGATTTTTGAAAAAAATTGAAAAATGAGCTAAAAATCAGGTCTCAACAATCTTCCACTCCATTTACAACGGCTTGTGGTGCGCGTCTAGATTCAACGTCTTATCGCGTCACAATTTTCCCTACTTGAGAGCACTAGGAGGTATTTTCGTTCATTTCTAAGGATTAAGTGTTTTGTTAAACGAACGAGGATCTATCCCTGACCATACCTCACGAGACAGTTGGTATTTGTTATTTAGTTTTCTATTTAGCCTAAGTTTTGCTTTGGAGTCGCCACTAGTTCTTATTGGTCAACTAGAAACTTAATCGTGGTATGGGAGAAATACCCCAATTTCTACGAACCAGAGATTACATGAGTAAGGGGATTTGGTTACGCTAATGATTCCGATATCGAGATCCCTAACGCCCTTTCGGTACCTAAAACGATCCGAAGTGTCTAAACGTGTTACGCGAGTTCGCAATGCCTATTCACTAATTCTAACCGGTCTAATCGGGAGAAATCAATTAATCAATAAGGAAATGCACAATCAATTCAAATCACAAATGGCAATCCTAAAATGGTCTCTAAAATGAAAATCAATCAAAACACCAAAACCCTTGTAAAGCTCTAAAGGCTTATTCATTCAAAGTATTGTGTTGTTTTTAGGGGTAAAGACCCATTTTTGTCCCTAAACTAAGGAGTCTTCAAAAATACCACTTGGGCACCTCAAAAAATTTATATTTCATTCAAAGTAGGTGGCCACAGGTGTTCTAAACCATTCTATGAATTTTTAAAATTTTTTATTTATTTTATTTTATTTTTTATTTTTATTTTTTTGGGAAAAGTTTTATTGAATTTCTTACTTTCCCGAAATCTGATTTTATTTATTATTATGAATTTTTTTGGAAAACTTTCAATTTTTGTGGATTTTTGGAGTTTTTTTTCAAATTTTTATGAATTTTCTGGAATTTTTCTTTTTTTTTGGATTTTGTGAAATTTTTCCAATTTTTATGGATTTTCTGGAATTTTTGAGATCATCTGAAATTTCTGAAATTCCCTAATTTTCTGATTTTTTTCTAAAATTTTTAAATAATTTTCTAGGTTTTTATGAATTTTCTATTTTTTATGTTTTTAGGATTTTTTAATTTTTTATTGGAACCGAACCGGATCGAGTCGGTTCAGACCGGTCCGACCAAGTTGGACCGGCTTTACCGGCCCCGATTAGCGTTTCGGCTTGACCGACCCTGATTAGCGTTCCGGCGGGGACGGTGCCAAAATGGCGCCATTTCCCTCCTTCCTCTTTGTGGCATTTTGTCAAGCACGTAACGTGCACTATTAGATCCAAACCTTCTTGCACCACCACTTTGTCCGCCACTCCGGTGACCCTCCGGCCACATTCCGACTACCCTAATCGGTCCTAAACCTTCTCCAAATGGCCCTCTAACCATCCATACCTATTATATCACTAATAAACCTCCCTAAGCCATTGATTCACAAGCTCAAACTTCACCACCTAAAACAGAAATCATTACCTAAAACTATACTAACATAACCTATTCATCAACTAAATCAACCTAATGAGCATCCCATTGATTCTAAATCATCCAGAACATGAATTCAAACTCAACAATAATTAGAATGAACTAACTTGGATCGGTTTTTGCTACGAAAGAGTGCTTTGGCATGGCAAATCATCTTCGGCGAAGAGGTCATTAGGGGGCCGACTCAATGCAAATGCATAATCATCGATCCAAAACACACAAATCAAGCAAGAAATGGATTGGAAACACAAAGAATGAACTAATAAGCACAATAGAAACAATCAAATTCAAAGATCGCACACGAATCAACTGGAGAAGTCATTTTGTCATTTTGTCATTTTGACAAACAAGTAATGTGAGTGTAGAGAGCATTTTTACCTTCGCCATTGGAGGCCAAATCCGATTTTTCGAATCAAATGGTGGCTATGGGATGCTCCTCTGACACCTCCTCTTCGAGTTGGTGACCTCTGCCTCGCCGGGAAGGTCTTGAACTGGTCGTTCGAGACTCGGTTTCAGAGCCTCACGATCAACCTTTTCCTGGTCATCTGGGAAGGAGATCCACCATAAAGGTCTGATTTGCCGGCGCCGGTCACTTAGCTTTGGGGACCTCTACCTCCCTTATCCTCAGTTTTCTCTCCTTTCTCTCTGGTTTTCTCTCTCTCTTTCTTTGGATTTTCGTCGAGCACGTTCTCTGCTTTGGGAACTGATTTTTTTTTCTATTTTTGTCCACCTCACGGGGACAGTTTTGGGCTCCAAATGCCTCCCAAATCCGTTAGGGCTGTTGGGGACGGACAACTGGAGGCCCCCAGCTGTCTATCCGTCCCCGGCACTTGCTGAAAAATGGGGGGAATAAGTCGGTTTAGGGGCTGGGCAAACTGTTTTCCCCCTACTTTTCCAGCTTGGGGCCAGGGTGGGTGAAGGAGATGAAGTCTTGAATCGAGTCGGATCCGACCGAACCGGGTTGATTCAATTTGTGAATTAAACCCCCATTTGACCTGATTTTGCAATTCCAACCCCAAATTTAGGCTCCTTGAAAAATTTTACCCTAGAATATGGGTTCAATTTGAATTTTCATTTTAATTAGGCCAGAAATCCCCAATTTTAAATTCGGTTCACTGAGGTTTTTGTTCAATTAAGTGTCTAAATGACCTAATTAAGAAAACTTGAGGCCAAAATTGAATTACCCATGTTCAATTAACTCTAAGGAAGGTATGGGTTTTGATTGAAAATTTCAAATTGAATGCAATCCCCAATTTGGGTCTTAAAATCCCTAATTTTCAATCAATTTTGGTTTTTTTAATATTTTCACCAAATTATGAAATTGGACTGACCAATATGCAATTAAAGGTCCCAAAATCAATTTTTGTGAAGACACTATAGCCTAAAAATAACTAGAAATGGTTTAATTGGATTTTTAGTTTGATGAGGATATGAAAATGCCCAAATTTGGGGAAAACATATTCCCAATTGAAATTTTATAAAATTTACTTTCCAGGACTCAAATTGGAATTCAAATAAGACTAGTGAATTTTTTTTTGGAATTTTTTAATTCCATTTACTATTTTTCTTGATTTTCTTCCTATTTTTATTAAATTAAATTAAGGAAAAATTTAAAAAAAATCTAGAAAAATTATTTTTTATTTAAAAATAGGTTCCTAAACATGGTCAAAGTTCTTAATCCTAATTTTGTGATTTTTAAGTAAATTTGGAAAATGGACTAAAAATCAGGTGTCAACACGTCTTTATCACCATCGCCATCACCAACATCAATATATTGAAAGAACACACATCGAATACATATAAGGAACTCTCATATCTATATCTAGATCTAGTTCGGAAGAGTAAAATCCTAAGCCTAAATCTAAATCGAAAGAGAAGAAGGGTTGTGGAGTCACGTCACAAACATCCTCCTCGGTGGTTGTCGACCGTACGAATGGTGGTCTCCACATTCACCCAACATCAGTTGTAGTAATTTATTCACACACACAAACTCTTTAAATAAATTGGGAGAGAAAAGAAAAAGACATTCAAAGCAGAGAAAAAGAAAACACAAAGCTATTTAAATAATACCTTTATTTACATGCAAATGGAAAATGGAATTCTCGTACTATTAAATAATATCACGAAAAACCCTAAACTGGTACACTTATGATAAATTTACCTCAAACTAATATTTTGACCACGAAAAACTTTAAACTGGTACAAGTGTGACAAATTTACTCCAAACTAATTTTTTTACCACAAAAAACCCCAAATTAGTACACATGTGACAAATTTACCCTAAACAAATTTTTTGACCACCAAAACCCCAAACTGGTACACCTGTGATAAATTTGCCCAAAACTAATTTTTTGACCACAAAAAATTTCAAACTGGTAATTTTGTAACAAATTTATCTTTAGTTAGCGGATCAATTTAGGGTTTTTCGTGGTATTTTCCCTATGGATTTCCACGTGGACTTGCCGCGTTACTATACCACGTCACCATGTGTCATCCACGTTAGTCAATTTAACAGTAAAATTCGACGGAAACTAACAGAGAGTAAATTCGTCACAAGTGTATCAATTTGGGGTTTTTGGTGGTTAAAAAATTATTTTGAGGTAAATTTGTCACAAATGTATCAGTTTGAGATTTTTGGTGGTCAAAAAATTAGTTTGGGATAAATTTGTCATAGGTATATCGGTTTGGGATTTTTATGGTCAAAAAATTAGTTTGGGGCAAATTTATTATAGATGTACTAGTTTGAGATTTTTCGTGATCAAAATATTAATTTAGGGTAAATTTATCATACGTGTACCGGCTTGGGTTTTTCGTGGTGTTAAAGAAAAACAGTAGAGATAGAAAATGTCGTTTTTCTTTTTGGTCTCAAGAGAGAATATACCTTTGAGTTGGTGGTGTTTCTCTGATACTCCGTCGCTGACTTCGGGTACTCGCTGAGAGCAACCAGCTCGACTTCGCGATCCACGAAGACGGCGAACATGATGGCCAACACCGCCAGGCTCCGCCCCCTGGCATGGTGGGGGAGGAAGTGGACCAAGAGGGACTGGGCTGTCGCGGCCGTCGCCGTCACCGCCTTCCTCTTCCTCCTCTCTTCTCTCTCCGACGACCCTCGCCGCGACCGCGGCGCCGGAGCTCGGCTGCCGGCCGACGATCCCGCGAGCGCTGCCGATTTGGTCGACCTGACTTTGCTTCGCGATGCCGAAGCCAAAGGCGCACGTAATCTCTCCAGTCTCTGCTTCCGAATTCCATGTTCATGGTGTTTTGGTTGTTCAAGCGGATGTGCCCAAAAGAGGGCGGCGGGGGGGTGTGGTGGGGTGGGGTGGTGGGGAAGAAAAGAATGAACTTGAACAGAGGCTGAAATCGTTGCAATGTTTTGTTTGTGGTTGCAGTGTGTTTGGATGGGAGTGCACCTGGATACCATTTCTCCAAGGGTTTCGGATCCGGCTCCGACAGTTGGCTTATCCACATTGAGGTTCTCTTTTGATCATTTCTATCTATAACTTCAGAACTTGGAGGAATACTTTTGGGTTAATCTCAAAGTTCTTATTTTGGCTGTCGGGCACATTGCCTTTCATGCTCTGGGTTATCAGAGCAAGATTTCTTTTGCCTTCTTTTTGGGTTACCATACAATATTTGTATTGCTTGAAGCACTTGATTGGTCCTGGTCATGTGTAGTTGCGACGTTCCATTTGCATTGGATGGTTGTTAGGAAGTGTGTAGAAAGCCAATCTTGACGGTGGTCTGAGGGGATCGATTTTCGGCTAGGTGTAGGATCTATCCTGTCCTCTTTCTTCGATACAGAGCATGGTAACAACATAGGACTATGAAGATAAGCTGTTTCCATGAATGACAGGAATTATCTTCCACATAGGTTCGTATTCATGCATATGTAGAATTGAATATTCAATAATTTTGTAATTCAAGGTGTGTTTGAAACTGCGATCATGATGGAGAAGGGATGGAGCATAGTGATTGCCTTCTATAAGTATAAACCTCATGCGATGCGCCTTGAGGAAAAAGAAAAGATCACATGCAGTTCCACTGTCTGAGATTGGAATTGAAGTCTCATTGTCTTAACATAACCTTTTGAGTTCTCCATGCTGTTTCCAGAAGAATTTTGGTTGTCATTCAAGCTTCCTAGTGAGGGTTAATGGGTTCTGTTGCAGTCTCCACTTGTCTTTTTAGTTTTCAAAGGGCTTTGTGTTTTTGATGCAGCCTCCTTAACCTGACCTTAGTGAGTGGATGTGGGGAGAGGGATTAGCTGTTACAGCCGCTCCATAGTAGTCAGTTTGTGACTTCGGTATTTACAACACTAGCCCTCTTGAATATAGGACAAACATTGATTCTCTTTGTTTTTTATCTGTGTGGTTGTGAATACTAGTAATGTTTCCTTAGGACCTCAATGGCTGTAAACGAGACTTGTTGTTTGGGGTGGCTTCGACATGAACTTTTTACTCTTTTACAAATCTTGCGCGGCTCTCACAAGTTTGAATTTTAGTGAAAGTAGAACACCTGAAAGCTTTTAAGTTTCAAGATGTTCAAATATTAACATGTATAGAAAAGAAATCCATGAATTCATAATTTTATAATTTCTAAAAATTGTAAAACTGTTGTTTTTATTTTTAAAATTTGGAGGGAAAGTCATAAGTAGAAGAATACATAGTTTTTTGGTTTTCCAAACAACTTTTGCCAAAGTCAGAAAAGTGGTGTAGCGGAGGAATAATTTGATGTATCTCATTTGTATGATGGAAAAGAGTGTGTTTCCCTCTTGATGCCTGCAAGAGGGTGGCTCTTAAAGTTCTCAGACAATCATTTAAATGAGAAAAGATGTGTTTTGCTTGGTTGTTAGAATAATATGATTTGTTAATATATGTTGGGATAATTAAAACTAGGAAATATGAAACCGACACGTACTTACCATATGAGCTAATGACTTCAAGTTTCTTTTATTTCACTTCTAGGCAATTTTTTTTTGTGATGATCATTAAAAATGCGTAACCGACTGTAGTTTGCTTCATTAGGACCCAAATTGTAGTGGACCTGGGATTCCCTGTAATGTCACGTGTTTGTTCTCTGCCTTATATGCACACACTGAGTAAGACAAGGTCCATTTTGTATTTTGCTCCTAGTAGTTCGTCCATCATCCAGTTGCATTTATTGCGAAAAGTACAATAAGTTTTCTGAGGTTGGTGAGAACAATTTAGGTGTAAACACCTACCATCTACATTACTGGGTGGTTTCGTATAAATTACTATCAACTCACCCTAACTGGTTTTTGTTTTCTACTTCTCTATCTGTTACAAAATTCAGGGTGAAGAAGGCAAGAAATTCCTTTCTACTCCTTAACTACTGGGACTTGGCATTTAGAACCCTACATAAGAGTGACATTACCAACCTAAACTTCCAGGCTGTTGCGCTTGAAAATTTTCAACTGCATATTATCGGATTACATTGAAGATTTATGTGATAGATGTTATTTGGAAAATTGCTGACTATAAATCTTTTGGAGTTCATCAAATTAGAAGATCTTGATGGTTACATAAAATATGTTTGCTAATCATCTTCACAAAGTGCTTACAATTTGTATGTTTACTTCCTCTGGTGGTAACATGATACTTCGGATATTTATTGTTTACCCATTATCTTTTGCCTTTGAGCTTGATGCCAGGGTGGGGGTTGGTGCGATAGCTTCTCATCATGCTCATCACGGGCAAAGACTAAACTAGGTTCTTCAGCGTATATGGAGCACCAAGTTTCCTTTGCTGGAATTTTAAGCAGTGAACCTTCACAGAATCCAGGTAATTGGCTGTAAAGCTGCATCTAAATCTTTTTGGTGCTCTTTAGATGGCTGTCTTTTATACTGCTTAAGTTAGAAAAGTAAAAACCAATACTAATCCTACGTAAGAGTAAGAAGCAGTTTGTACATAATGTATGGACATTTTGCTTTCTAGATCGATGGTAATAAATAGTTTAGGTGAATATAGTGGAATAATAGGAATGTTGTAGCTTTCTTATGCTTCTGAGTTCATACGTCTATAACGATAAGCATTCTTTACCGAGGAAATTTTTCTAATGGATGCTCTTAAAGTCACATTTATGAAGCTGTCCACCCAAGTTTTTATTTAAGATGAATCATGACATTCGACCTACTCAAGGTGACAGTACCCTTTTCTTCTGATCTTACAAATGTCTTCTGCTGCAAAATAATCTCTTTTTTCTCCTGTAACTTCCTTATTTTTAATTTTAATCTCCTAAACATCTTACTCTTGGTCTGTTTCTAATTATACTCCTTTTCTTAAGTTGGTCTGTACAAAACAATCTTGTGTTTCAAAAGAAGTCAGATCAGGCTAAACTGCATGCTCACCTTTATCTAGACTTGATCATTCTACACTGAAACACATAAAATGGTTATCTTTTATTTGCCAACTTGTTCCTCATGCTCTTACTAAATCCAGATTCCAGATTAATTTTTGAATGCCAATTACGGTAAGATATTAAGTTTATGCACTGAAGGAATGATGTCTTTCTTTATCTTACGAACATATCATCTTGGTCAAAAGGTCTTTCTTGTCATCTTAAGCAGAGTCTATTGGTAGTATTCATACAGGGAACAGTGTTAGCTCAACCTGGCTGCAAAATGCGTTCTTAACAAAAATCCCTTCATATCCTTTTGCAAGAAGGAAATTCAGCTATATAAAATGATAATTTTTGGAGGGTAAACTAAATACTATTAAAACCGTACCGAGTGGTATGTCCCCTATACGAAAGCCAAGGATAGGAATCATCTTGACAATTTTCTTCTTCCTGCACATGAATTAATAACATCCCAAGCCCAAAGTTCATCTTGCACTGTATTCAAATAACCTACTTACTCCTCGAACTGCAAAAACTATAGTATGAATCTGTCTGGTCCAACTATAATCCAATAGTAAATGGATTCACACTCTCCCTCCGTGAAAAAAGCATCTATTTACCAACACTCCTAATTTCTTTTGAAGATAGCCAAAGTTGGAATACACCCCAGGTTGCTTCCAATTAGGTAAAAAGACCTTCAGATGGATTTTTTGCTTTTCAAATGGCCTTCTTTCAGAAAAGCATGTTCCATGTGACTGAGCAGACTCAAGGTTCGAATAGTAAAATTAGATTGAGAAGTTTCCGGATCTAGAACAATCCCACCAAGGATGGTTGTGCTCATCCCTCTATTGCCATATGATATAACAGTTAAAAGAATTTGGAGAAGTTTTCCACTTCTAGTCCTGAGCCTGGTGTAAAGAACTACCTGCCAAACCATCCCCCAATAGCTAGCATTTTAACAATCTGCCACCATAGCACACATGTTCTTTGCTAAGACAAGAAAGTCAGGAAACATATCTTTTAAGGGAACATCTCCTCACCCTCTATTAGTTGACAATAAGGTTCTCCTGCCATTACCCACTTATATTAAGTTTGTGATTTTTAAGTCGTCCCATCCTTGCCTTATGTGCTTCCATACCTTAACCCATGTGCTTCCTCAGTTCAAGTTGTCCATCGTCGATCGTCCAAAGCATATATTCCAATCAGCATTCTCCTCCAAAAACTAATTTAATCCGTGTTAAAATCCATGACCATTTTTCAAGCAGACCATTTGTCAAAAAATATCAGCAATCTTATGGCAAAACCTCCTTTAGGGACTGGTTGCTTTACAACGTTTTAATTGATGAAATATGATATATATATATCTCCCATAGAAATTTGTTCTAAATGCTCTCTAGTCTGTTTGCCTACAAATTGGGGTTCAGAAACAAAGAGTGAAGTAAAATGGAAGATGAGAAGGGGTGCTCTTCTGCTGAATAAGTGCACTTCTCATTGATATATTACTTCTTCCACCCGCTTTTCCTAAAATGCAATGATTGAGTCTCAGATGCCGTGTGAAGTGTATCTAGATCCCTAGAGCATTCCTAGATACCTTATTGCCAAGCAAGCTTCCTTACAACCTAGAATGCTTGATAAAACTGGCACATTAATTTTCCACCCACCGAAAGGATTTAATTGTTTCCCCAGTGCACTCTTGTCCCTGGTTCTTCAAGGTTATATACATATCCAATGGGATATTCTGTCTAATTGAAATCTGAAAAGCACTTCCCTGCAAGGGCCTAAAGATATTCAGTGGATTTTCCTCTCTCTGTTGCATTTCTCTTGCTCTGTGGTTTTTATTCTGAACTTGCTTCTATATGAGGATACAAATTGAAATTGACCCATGAAAAGTCACAATCGTTGTGTCTGTCAAAGGGGATGTGGTTATGAACATAAATAAGTGATCTTAATTTTTTCCTTTTTTTGAACTTGAAATACTTGCAACCTCTAATAAAGCATGTTCATCAGTTCCTGACCTAGAAGAGCCGATCTTTACACTCCTCAATGCATCTACCTGTTTTCTACCATATAGCAATCTTCCACAGCATAATTCTGTTGTAACAGGAAAATAGCAGCCTGAGTCATAGCTTGATTGGATGTTGGCGGCTGGCTCAGTTCTTAAACTCCCTTTCCCATAAAATCTTTATCTCTAATGTATTGAACACTTCATCAAGGAGATGCGCTAAATAATAAATCAAATGCTTTTAGTTATTCCTTTGAACTTCTGACTTTTATACAGTTGATATTGATATCTCATAGTTTTTAATATAGGCCTTCTGGGCATTTTTCAGAATTTTTTAACTGGAACAAAGTCAAGATAAGGTATTGTGATGGTGCATCCTTTTCTGGTCATCCTCAAAGCGAACCAAAGGTTGGTGTTGGTAAATTATTTGGATGGTCTGACTGTGACCTCGGAGATAATAACTGGTCATCTGGAGTACGGTCATCTGGAGAGTAACTAGTTATGTCACTTGAATAGGACAAGAAAGGAAGAATCTTCTTTAGAGGTCAGCTCATTTGGAAAGCACTCATGGATGAATTGTTATCAGCAGGCTTGTCAACGGCGCACCAGGTAGCTTTCTACTTCAGGAATCATACTTGTCTGGCTAGGTTCAAAGGTTTGGCAGGCAACTAACTATGATTGCTTAATAAAGTCGTGGGTCTGTGATGTTTATTATACTGTCTTGCTTATCCGCTGCTTTTGTAGGGATAAGTGGGATAATAGTGAACCCTTCTTTCAGTCCCATTCAGTTTGCAAATTCAAATTAATTTTTTCAGTGTAGTCCCTTAATGAAATTAAGGATTGTGGTGAACCTGATAACGAGTCTCTGCAGTAAATTTGGTCGGTTGATTGTGAGGTTTTGGGAAATCCACATATCATGGTAAAAGATAGGTTCTGTTTAGAGTAGGGTTATGTGAGGGTACTTCTTCCTTCTCTTGGTGGACACCTTCAAAAGCAGTGACGCATGTACCCTTTTTGCTGGCACAAATATAATTGTTGTTTTGCTTTTGATGCAGGCTTTCCTTACAGGATGCTCTGCTGGAGGATTAGCAACTCTTATTCATTGTGATGACTTCCGAGAAATTCTTCCAAAGGATGCAACTGTCAAGTGCCTTGCTGATGCAGGTTTTTTCCTCAATGAGTATGTTTTTTCCACCAATAATTATATGTGTATATGATACCATGCTGGGTGTAGACCATCCTATACGTACCCCTTTGATGTTTTGAAATTTCGGGAAAAAGCACATAAAGAGAATCTTTTGCAGACATGTGTTGATTCGCAAATCTGAAATTCTTTGAAGAAAGAACATTTGTGCGATGAAGGACATGAAGCTTGTTAAAAATGGTGAATAGGATAGTGCTGACATACTTTTTGCTTCTTTTAATTTTTTCGCTCGCTCAATGCATTTTCATTTACTGTTTGTGCCTATATGGCGTATAATGGAAGTCTACTTTTGTTGCTTCAGGAAAGATATCAGTGGGAATGACACTATGAGGTCTTTCTATCACAATGTTGTCCAACTTCAGGTTGTGCTTAAACAAATGCAACCCTAACTTGTGCAAATTAGTTAGAGTGAAACAATTTACGTCATTTATATTACAAGCACAATTTAATATCTTGCACGTCACTATTTTGCCTTAAGATTTGGACTATGTGCAGTGAGGTTTTAAACAAGTCATGAGATTATTGGTTGTGACTAAGTCAACTTCTTTTTTTGTAATATTGTTAGTATGGTTCTTTAATAAACAACTATTTCTTTAGATTAATAAAGATGTTTCAATAAGTTAAGGATTTTTATGTTATCCTCCCTCCCTCATCTCCCCTTTCCTTCATGATAAAGTTGATGACCATACTACCAATGTATTTTTCTTCAAAACTGCTTGCTGACGATGGCTGTCTTGCCTTTATGCTGTTGCTGTCAGGGTGTACAAGAAAGTTTAAACAAGGGCTGTGTTACTAGCAAGGAACCATCTGATGTAGGTCCTTTGTCACTTTTCCCTGTGTTTGGCCTGCAGTGTGGCTTAAGTCATCTGATATAATCTCCTTTGGCTGATGCTGTTGAAATCTGCAAATTGCAAATGCTAGTGTTTCTTTCCTGAGGAGATAATTAAAAACATAAGGACCCCAGTTTTTCTTGTCAACCCTGCTTACGACTTTTGGCAGGTAAGTCATTTTCCAGTAGACTGTGATCATCGCATCCTTTTCCTTTTCGAGTTGGAAAATCTTCATCATTCTGAGCAAGTATGACTAAGATAATTAGAATGATTTCCAGATTCAAAATGTCCTGGTACCAGATGGCTCAGATCCAAGTGAAAGCTGGAAAAAATGCAGACTAAATATTCGAGCTTGCACTCCTAGCCAGCTTAAAACACTACAAGGTAGTTTTTATTTTGTCACCAAATTTGTCTTAGCAGGCAAAGAAGGATGGGCTTTAGTAGTTCGATGCAGATCTCTTAAATTGATATGTTCACACTCATCCATGTTAAATCTTGTGAATATGCCAGAAAACTTTGTCAATGCAATGTCTTGGCACACATGCAATAGGAATTGGATTACTGGTGTTGTAGACTGGGATATGCGGCTTATCATCTGTGTTTTATCGACGTATCATCTAGAATAACTGTGGATGTGTGTACATTTAGGAACCCAGCCTTCTATTGGTGTGCGTCATGATTATCACCCGGAATAACCGGGTACATCATTGAACTTGATATGCATATCTGTATCTATCTATCTATAGAAGTGGGTATTGCTAGCATGTGGTTGCGCCACATGGCCCATTTCCATGTGCGAGCTTTACATAAAGTTATTTTTAGTTGATACTCCAGCTTATTCTATTCAATTAGAACAAATATGTGGATGATGAATTTTCTATATTGAAAATTGTATTGACTGAACTTCTAAGGGATGATGAATTTTCTATTTTGAAAGTTCTATTGACTGAAATTCTAAGGGCATAATTATGTAAAAATATCATGCATGCCAACAAAAGTAGTCTTTTATATTCTTATAAAAGGAGCACTGCTTTACTTTATTCATTTTTATTTATGAATGAGATATAATATGTGTTGGATAGAAAAAGTTACATAACATTGAGAAATATCTAGATAAAAGCCTAGTGTCAGCACTATACTGTCTGCTCTAGTGGCGGTTCCCCTGCACCTACATGGCTTTAAAAGTTAAAACGTTTATTGCTAAGTCGCGCAAGACTTATCTATCACGTAATAATCCATATCTAGGCAAGGTGGGATTAAGTAGATGTCTAAAACCTAACAATGTTCATAGAGAATAAAGCAGGTTCTGGTTATTTCATAAGTAAGGAACTGTTTTCAGTAGCTTATCTAGACTTTCTGAAGTTATTTTAATACAAGAAAAGAAAGATGAACACATTTTTAATGAATGAAGCAAAGACAAGAAACGTGAAAATATTTTAAGATCAGTAAATGTGATTTTCTTCCAACTTTGCAGCATAACATGGTTATGTCGGACAGGTTTCCGTGATTCAATGCTGAGGGCACTTAGTGAGTTCCAGAAAAGCAAGGAAGGGGGGATGTTTATCAATTCTTGCTTTATTCATTGCCAAACATGGATCGGCGAGGCTTGGCACTCATCTAATTCCCCAAGGATTGGCGATAAGGTAAATAAAGTTTAATCACGATCTGAGGTCAACAAGAACTTGCGCTCTAAACATAGACACCAACATACAACCCCATTGGCACAAATTATCTATTGGCCATTTGATTATCGATTCCTTAATTTATCAAGATCACAGTGAGTGAACATGATAGTTTAGGTGCAGTTGATGCTTGCTAAACCTGGTCAATCACTCTATTCCTCTTCCGTGGATCAATGGCATCTATTCACTTGTTTTATGCAGACAATTGCAGAGTCAGTGGGAGACTGGTACTTCAACAGAAGAGCAGTGAAGCAAATTGACTGTCCTTATCCCTGCAATCCCTCTTGCTACAACATGGATTTTTCTTGAAATTTTAAGCCTTTCATCATGTTCGATATGCATTAATCTCTGACTCCCTTGCTAGGGTTTGCGAGGACAGCGCTCCACGATCCCTATATGGAAATGAAGAGCCTCAATGGTTAGTCTTGTAAACCATGTCCAAATTGCTCACACTTGCAGGGCTAAAAGCTTGTTAGGATTGTCCAGTGGATTCAAGTGGCCTTATTCAGCCCCGACTTTGTTGTTTAGAACACCGTCGCTTTCTTTATCTTTTGCTACATTCAGGCGGCCTTATTCACTCCTATGCAGCTTGGGCTTTGCCATTTCTGTTGTACTCAGGACTGCGAACATGAAATACACTATTTACTGGCACACATGCCACAGATTGTTTTTTCTTTTTCTAGAACTTGAATGCTTCTGTAGATTATTACACGACAGATATGGATCACAAGCGGAAAATAAACAGAAGAGAAGCTGCAGCACAGGCGCTGGTAGCACCCACTTGATCATCTTCCATTTATTGAATAGAGTTTGACTTTTTTTCGAAAAATCAAGATTTCAGCAGTAGATAGCAATGCCAGAAGTGCATATGAACGTGGTAGTGTGGAAGATTATTCCACACATTGCGTCCACCACTTGATCCAAGTTCACGCCCATCTCTTTGCACCATTCTCTCCCTGTCTTGCTCTTTCCTCTGCCTCTGCCCACGCCCATAGTGCCCTCCTCGGGGCCCCTGTTGCTCCTGCCGCGTCACTGACAGCCGGCACCTCCATTGAGTCCATTGCTGGCCTCCATGCAGGACAGCCACTACTGCAACAGCCTCTCTCTCTCTCTCTCTCTCTCCGGTTGACGGCGCTGTTGATATCGGAAACTTGAATTCCCACTGCAAGCCTTTGATCTAAGATATCAAGATCAATGTGAGATCAATGTTGAACTATAGATCTAAGACCCAGGCCTCGGATCAAGCATGAATCGCTAGATATATGAGGCACGTGTTTGATTTGACCCTCGTCTTCAGGCTTGTCTCATCATCTTCCCAACGGCAATGACGATTGGGGAACGAGATTGCAAAACGGGGTCAGGGGAGAGAGAGAGAAATGATGACGACCATGTCGGAGAGAAGAAAAATAATTACTAATATATGTGCTGAATTGAATATTAACCATTGAAAATGAAGGATCCCATGTTAGTCCACCAGATCTAATGATCTAGATTCGTCTTAATAGATATTCTAGGTTCACTAATAATTTCCTAGAGATGAGAGATATCGAAGGAAAGAAATGTCTGTGTGAGTAAAAAAAGTTTCCAGCGATATTCGTAATTAGTAGTAAAAGAATGTCGGTATAACCATGTATTAGATGAGCCACAGGATATGAACATAGGATCATGGGACAAGCCCCCTCGCCTGTCTATCCAATATGGTTCAGCATCTTACTTTCCTTCAGTAGCCTGGAAAAATCCAAGAATAAAAAGATTTAAGTGCTATATACACGTTAAGTAAGGCTCATTAAGATACCATTTGCTAATCAAGTACATGTAATATCGGAGTTCTCCTCCCTTTAGATTAGCTTATGACCCAATGCAGTCTTGGGATCAGTCAACGCCCAATTAAGTATTGTGACCCCAGCATCTATTAGTAATTTTATGTATATAGAGTATATATGTTTCACCTCTTGATGCGTGGTGGCTCCCGCCATGCCGGGATCCCTCCCTCCGAAGGTGGGTTTCTTGTCCCACATTAGATTTGCCGTCCCCTTGCTATAGCTTATAACCCGATACAATCCTGAGATTAGTCAACACATGCATTTGGTCTTTTGACCCCAGTGTCTAAAATCAAGTACTTGCAATTTTAGACCATTTTGATTCCCCGGAGTTTTTAGGATTTTTATTTGGTTTACTGTATGTAAATGAAGATTTACCCTTTGAAAACAATTTTAAAATGAAAAATGGAGATATATTTTTCAATTTACAATTACGATTTGGCATCTTTAGTGTCTCCATTTTCATTTTTCACATACCAAAAGCATTTCTAATATGGTGGACGACGAACAATGAAACATGTTTCAGCTTTCTTTATTTTATTAAAATGCAAGGTCAATATATTTTCTGAAATCAAACCTGCAAGAAATAATCATCTGATATGCACATCATGGCAGAGATTCTCGAGTGTCAAAACTTTTAGGGTCTCCATGCTAATACTGTGAACATTGTCATAATAAATACAAGTAATCTCTCTCGATTTTGATTGGACCCTAATAATTATGTGCTAATTTTGGTTAGGGCTGAGAAATTATTACACAAATTGCCATGGGCAGACCCGTTTATCAATGAGCTTAAAAATCACAGGAATTTCGAGTAAATCAAATTTTTCAGCATGTTCGATGAAAACTACAACGCTTTGAATTGACATAGATTGACATTGACTTTATAACCCAAATTTGAAAAGCCGATTGCCAATCCGAGGAATTGGTCAAAGATTTTTCTTTGTTTACTTTATTAAAAGCTGGTAACTTCAAGATAAGCCTGTAAGTCATTAGACAAATCGCTAATCCAAGATTGATCAAGTGAATATCAGTGTGGATGGCTAAAACAATAGTCGGTAAAATCATTAAAAAGAGTAGGAATTCGAAACCGTGTAAATGAACATTGGAAAGTGACTCAAATAAGAGTTGGATACCCAAAACGAACATTGAGATTGATGACGTAAACGAACATCGGTTGCACCAGATTTCGTACTCATCCTCCTCTTTCGAAACCCTTTACACTCAGAGCACTCCAATACGAGAAGACCTTAATCCTCATCATTCTCCAATTATGGATGTTTCAGCTTCATGAGGAACCTACTGGGAGATTGAGTGACGCAATCTTCTTAGCAAACGACATGCTTTGGGGGAAAGTAAGAAAAACTGGTACGTGAAACCCTAAAAGAAAAAAAGAAACACTAGAAATCTGGCATCTACACGTACTGTCGCACACCTCATCTGCAATGAAACAGAACCTCTCTTCATATCCACAAACACCGACGTAATGAACTTGGTAGGTCGATCTCTTGGGGAAAAAGGAGTGAGCAAACTAACATCATGACGAGGAGACGCGCTTATGACATGGCGAGAAGGGGAAACGAAGGTTGATGTAAATGGCATGATTTGGGTGTCCACAGGTTTTGACGTTGTCTAAGAGAGTGTTGTGTTGTTGTGCCTTTTCGTCTAGCACCGTTTTGGAATGCCTCGTCACTTTAGGCTGCGCAAATCTGTTCGATGGCCAATTTTAGGATGGGCCGACTCGTTGATCACTCACAAATCAGCGTTGTGTATTTATAGTTTAGTCCATACACGTTCCTGATCGGCAATGTGAGCGATGGCGACACGTATATCGCTATCAAAGTCAGCAACGCGAAAGTTTGACACCAAAACCTGACGTAGAAAATCGACATGAAAGTGTGAGCTACACGCTTTGGAAGCAAAAGCAAAGGCGGACGTAGGCATGCATGGTCTATCTATGCGCTGCTTTTTTAGCTTAATTCCCTCGTACTTTGGTCTTTAGTTTCTAGATTTTAACGATTTTTCTACTTTCACAAGATGATAGTTCATTTTCCTTCTCCATTAAGTACTTGGACCTTCTGTCCGTTTTGGAGGAATTATTAGCAAGAATTTGATGCATGGTCTATCTAGCTCTGATGCCTTGTTAGAATATCTAATTCAAAAGCTTAACTTAGTAGGTGGAAAAGAGACCATATGTATGTAATGAGCACATAAATTTCATAGACATGCGATATGAGATACTGTAATAATGTTAAAGTTGAATTATGAATTTGTAACATGCGATTATACAAGTTTATGTGATATATATATATATATATATATATATATATATATATATATATAAAAGGTATTATTGACCGTGAGTAAATCATTTACCAATAAAGATTCATAACCTAGAAAATTCTCTATTATTTTAACACTATGTCCAGCTCCTTCTCATTTCCATTTTCATTCATTTCCCCTGTCAACTCCTTACTAAATTGACATAACAGGGATTATATGCATAAACAAACTATAGCAAAATCCAAAGCATCTTCCAACCTCAAATTCCTTCACATAATTTCCAATAAAAAAACAGTGTCTATTATAGTACTACTAACCATGGTAATTAAACTTAAATATATCTGATCATATAGAAACTTAAATTCTTCTCCTAAAATAACACAGACGATACAACTTTTCCCTTAAGTTATCTTTATTTTTTTTTATGTACACGCACATCTGTGCTGGCCTATTTTGCTAGTATTTAGAAAAAAAGTTAGATTTTAGTTCTATATGACAACTCCCATTGTTCCACCCATAGAAATTGTTTCCTTTTGAAGAGATGTTTTTTTTTTTTTTCGGAACCTTTTCAAGAGATGTTAGAATGTATAAATAGACAAACCCTAGAGGAGTCCACAAAACACACATTTGAGTTAGAGAGGGAAGAAACAATGAAGAGTGGTGGTGCAAAATGCTTATGGATGATCTTGCTGATAGTTTTGGCGTTGGGCCTGACTTTCTTCCGTACGGCTGAGGCGAGAGCGCTCGTCACCAGAAAACATGGGAGTCTCGTGAAACCTGAAGGAACATCCTTTCATTTCAATGTACTTCCCAAAGGATCAGTAGTCCCTCCTTCTGGACCCAGTAGCCGGACAAGCTCGTCTCTGCCGCCGCCGCCGCCAATCTTCATGGATTGAGATTTGGTTTTGGTGCAGCATGTCATGCCGGAAGCGACTGCCGTCACGATCTTAAGCTTCTGAGCTCTCGGACGAGTAGCATATACGAATAAATGGTTCAAGGTTGTACTCCAATCTCAGTGGGTATGTCGTTTGAGATAATTAATGGCGTCTCTTAACGCCATGGCGTTTTGTGTTATAATTCTGTAGTGCTGTTTGTAGAGCAACAAAACTTTTATGTCATTATATTTCCATATGAAGAGTCTGAACTAGTTTGGTTATTGTTTTCATAACGAAATGATCAGCTTGCATATGTAAATCTCTTGACCTGCAAGACACCCAACTAACCTCAGATAGTTTGAACATTAGCGGAGTCAGAATCGAACCGGAAAACCGAACTGAAACCAAAGCCGAATGAATCGAACCGAAATTTTGGGCATTTTTAGTTCGGTTCAGTTTTCAGTTCGGATAATAAAAAAATAACCCTTTTCGTTGCCAGTTTGGATTTTTCTCAGTTCGCTTCAATTTATAAACCGATCCGAACCACCAAAACTTAATAATCCTAAATTGAAAATGAACATGGGTCTTTTGCATCTAATGGTGTAAGGATCAGACATCACAGAGCAAAATCGGACGGTATCGAGCTATATATATGGCCATCCTGGTTGCTTTTTGCACTATTCGAGTCCATGAAGTTCAATTCTGAA